TCATATTGTGCATATTACTGATGTAAGAATACTGGAAGTCATGTTCGCAGAAAGTGGAAAAACGTGTCACACCAACTTACTATCTATCTATCTATCTATCTATCTATCTATCTATCTATCTCTCTCTCTCTCTCTCTCTCTCGCTATATATATATATATATATATATATATATATATATATATATGTATTTAAGTTATGAAAAACTTGGTAATCCGTATGGGTAAGTTAACCGTCTAAATAGGTCAAGGTCTGGTCACTCCTCCTCTCCCAATAGAAAGTATGATTGAGAGAGATACGTAATTAATCCCTCCCTATACTCTACCATGTATCTTTAACTATCCCTTTTGCATTCTCTGTTAAATTACAAAAACTTACACTACCCATGAATTTTAATTTCATTTTTCATTTCATTTTTGGAAGTGCTATCTGATGATCCGTCGTCCTTTAAAAAGGGCTCTGGTGAAATAAATTATTATAATGGTACCTTAAAAGTGGTCTGTTTTTTCCTTAATATATATATATATATATATATATATATATATATATATATATATATATATATATATATATCCCAGTTTGTTCATTATCTATCTATCTATCTATCTATCTATCTATCTATCTATCTATGTCTCTTAATATTCATATATCTGCCTATATGTGTATAGTTTGCTTTTGTCTTTACACATTGTGGCTTTCCTTTTGACAGGAAATTAACTTTGTGCTTCTTAAAATTTGGCCAATATTCCAATGTTATTTTTTACTATGCTTTTGACTAATATCTTTATCATTAAAGAGTTATCCGAACGCCTCTTCAAATAAGTTTGTCAATTCATTTCTCTTTCATGGAGTGTTTTCTTTTATAGCTCATTCTAAATACCATAGCCACATTTACCCTGCAGACAAGCGTTGAGTCATTTAAACATCCAGTTGAACGGATTTCATAGGACCGAAAATCTACTTACATCTAGCAAATATGTTTTGAAGTGATTTTAACCATTGTCTGCTTGAATCTTTTCTAAAGTCGGTATATTTGGACAGCAATTGTTTAACATGTATTGTTTAAATAATAGACTTTTGTATCTCTTGTATTTAATGGTTTCGCTAATGTCGGAATAATATTCACAAATGTGGTTGTCCGTGCATAAATTCGTCAAAATTCATGATGTGTAGTTCCAAGATTTCGACACTTGGGTGTTTGGGGGGGGGGAAATATGTGTATCTTTTAGAAGTATATTTATCAATAGTTTTAAAATGTGTCACTATTTGAAAAGCAAATCGAATGATCGCCCTGTCGGCCGAGGCTTCAGAATACGCCTACTGCACCTCGGCAAAGGGTAAGACCCCAATGAATTAGTCGTCTTAGGTAAGACGATAAACTACATCCGGCCTCGATCAGGAGGTTTGAGGAGCTGGTACCGCCTCTTAATTGTTGGTGTTCCTGTTCTGACTCGAGGTGGTAGCACGGGTTTAGGTTCCCAGATCTTAGTAAATCGTTCACCCCAAACTGAGTTCAAAACACTATGAAAGTATAAAGTATAGTTTTCTAAAAATTATTACCAGCAATAAAATTATGAAGGAAAAAATTATTACCAGAAATACAATTTTTGGAAGAAAAGAATTTTAGCAGCAAAACATTTTTGGAAAACAAATATTACCAGCAATACATTTTTGAGAAAAAAATATATTAGCAGCAATACATGTTTTGGAAGAAAAAAATATTACCATCCATACATTTTTGAAAAAAATATATATTAGCAGCAATACAGTTTCGGAAAAAAAACCAAAACATATTACCAAATATTAACAAATATTACCAGCAATACATTTTTTGGAAGAAAAAAATATTACCAGCAATACATTTTTTGGAAGAAAAAAATGTTACCAGCAATACATTTTTTGGAAGAAAAAAAGATTAGCAGCAATACATTTTTTGGAAGAAAAATATTAGCAGCAATACAGTTTTGGAGAAAAAAAACATATTACCAGCAATACATTTTTTGGAAGAAAAAATATTACCAGCAATACATTTTTGAAAAAAAAATATTAGCAGCAAAACAGTTTCGGAAAAAAAAAATTACCAACAATACATTTTGAACAAAAATTACCAGCACTATATTTTTGGAAAAAAAAATTACCAACAATACATTTTGAACAAAAATTACCAGCACTATATTTTTGGAAAAAAAAATTACCAACAATACATTTTGAACAAAAATTACCAGCACTATATTTTTGGAAAAAAAAAAATTACCAACAATACATTTTGAAAAAAAATTACCAGCACTATATTTTGGAAAAAAAATTACCAACAATACATTTTGAACAAAAATTATCAGCACTATATTTTTGGAAAAAAAAATTACCAACAATACATTTTGAACAAAAATATTACCAGCAATAAAAATCGTGTCGTCATTCAATAACCTATTGCGGTTGATATTCCGTAAAACAAAACAAACAAAACCATATCGAAAGAATCTTGATGTAACAAGTCAAGTGATAGCAAAAGACTTTAAACTAGTGAAAAAAAATATGTCTGGAATGATACTATTTTATATGCATTAATATATATAATCTGAAATGATATTTTTTATTCAAGGATGGTTGCTTAAATTGGTTATAAATGGCTTTTATAATATAGACATTTTATAAAATTAGATTCATAAATATTCTTTTAATATTTGCATTAGACATGGAATCATATGTTAACCAGAAATGCCTCCAGTAAAGAGGTATAAATCTCAGGTAGAGGTTGAAGTAGTTATCGGTGGAAAAGATGGGATGAAAACGTGGATACTGTTACTACTACTGCTATTTCTGCTACGTGTCATCAAATGCCCGAGTGTTTAGAAGTTTCCTACCAGAAGACCCAGGTTCGATTTGTCAGGAATTTTTGATGTTATCGCTTTGGGAACGCGATCTACGCGTGAGGGACATTTGGAAAGTTCTTGAAAAGCGTTTACATGTAGTCAGCGCTGTGAGTGAAATTTCGTTTGATGGAACTGATCGCAAATTTTATTACCAAGAAGTCACAAGTCATCGTGATCAAGGGTTTGAAGGTACTGACCTTGTTCTAATTGTTGATCACAACAGAGGATGCGGGCTTTCCCATAAACTGCGACAAAGTTCATATAAACAGTGTTGAAATATAAACCACCATTGTGGCTGTGAAATATAAACCACCATTGTTGTAGTTCCACCTCCCATATCGCTTTTGGATGTATCAGTTATCGCCCTTTAACTCAACTCTCTGAGCTTTTGTTCATCACTGCCGTAGCCAGGTATTGAACTCACATCTCTTTGGGTAAACCAACGCTTTTAGCCACTGAGCCAAATGTCCGGAATTGGCATGGCACGTAAAACTAGAACAATCTATCAGAGAAGAGATAATAAAGGGTTCATTTGGAAATTCCAATCCCCTGAACAAGGCCGGAGCGTACAACAGTCGAAATGTGAATATTTCAATAAAGATGAGAACAACTGTCCGAAAAATGTAAATTATTATTACTGAGATGTAACCATCGTCGACTACATGAAACCATAAAGCAAAATAAGACATCTAACTGCACTTGGAAACAATACATTCCTTTGTACTGTTTGTCGTCTTTTGTGCAATTCCTGAGCCGGTCTCAAAAGACATGCCCGCCATAGGAATGCAGATAATTGTTTCGTGGTCGTCGGAAGCTCATATATCGAACTCGACCGGAGAATCCATATATATATATATATATATATATATATATATATATATATATATATATATATATATATATATATATATAATATTTTTGTTTAAGAATATGATTTCCTTGCTACATAAGAGTTCTCATGTTTCAAAAACGAGAGCCGAAACCATCAAATAATTATTAAAATTAAGTTGAATTGAGGTGTTTAGTCCCGTTTCATCCTCAAGCGAAATTTTAGGAATAAGCTATCTCTCGGTTTACGTGTGTTTTAGGCATGGTCCGTTACAGAATTCGTTATTGTGGGAGTGGCTAGACTATTTTTCTTTGTTAAGTGGTCAGAGAGTTAATTCTTACCAATAGATTCATCATCTTATACTTATATATATATATATATATATATATATATATATATATATATATATATATATATATATATATATATATATATATATATATGAACAAATTCAAAAACATCTTAGCTGACACGTTTCGTCCTCTGAGGGACTTCCCAGATAAAGTAACTTAGAGCACGAAAAGCGTCTGGTAAGATACGTTTCCCTTTTGTCTTTGTATTGTCAGATATATTGCACATGGAATTTTACACACACACACACACATACACACACACAGACACATACACACACATACACACAGCTATATATATATATATATATTATATATATATATATATATATATATATATGTATGCATATATATATATATTTCTGAATTAATCTGTTTCACATTTCAAAAATGTCTTCAAAATCAGATTTCCCTAAAAGAGTCATCTGTCTCGGCCTGTTCACCTTACTCTTGTCCAAAATGTAGTGTCAATTTTGTTTTCCTGGAAATTTTAGCTCTGTGAAAAACTTAGACGTCACCAGAACACAAATCCGATCCGTGTGATTAGATATCTTGCCCAAAAAGACATTGCACGAGACTCCAATGCAAATGCGTCTGTTAAGTAGCGAACAAGTTCAGTTAATTGCGACACACAGGTGACAAACCACGCGGGAGATTATCAGTTTTTAGTTGGCATAGTTACATCGCCCGACAGACAGGACCACGTATGTTCAAGATTCATTTACATTGCTAAAAAAAAAAAAAATGAAGTAACGAGCCATATTATTGACAAAGACTTGGTGGCGAGTGATTTGTCTAACTACATGTCTTTACAGTTCTGACAATTCATCAATCTCTTCTAATTCAAAATTGATTCGACAGTTTTGCCGTCCTAAAAGTTTACAATAGAATGAATTACACACAGTCTTTCGGCTCTAAATTACTCAGTATATATATATATATATATATATATATATATATATATATATAAATGTTATTTACTTACGCAGGATAATGTAAAAACCATTTATCAATTCGAACGCATGATTTAGTAGTCAAGAAAAAAATGTTTATTTAATTAAGCGTCCATTTTTTTTCGGTTCTTCTAAATAAATGGCTTTATCTTTTTCTTTAATATATTTTTTCCCTCTTTTAAATTTGAAAAATAAATTGCAAAACGTCTTTAAATTTTAAAACGAACGACATACAGGAAGCTCGAAGGCAAGCACATATTTCAAAACTCGGCAAGTTGAAGATGTGGCTCTAAATCTTTTCGATGTGACAATTAGAAAGAGTGAATAATAATAGATACTCAAACGGAATTAATAGCGAAAGATTGGCGTTATAATTAATGATAATAGATGAAAATACTTCGTGAATAAAGTTCCGGTTAATCAGGTAGATGTTACGCTAATTCACTACCCAGTGAGAATCAATGACAACGTCTCTCTAACTCTATGTACTTCAAAATATTGCCTTGATTAAATGTCAATCTCCCCCACTGTGTTTGTTTTTATATATATATATATATATATATATATATATATAATAAAAACAAACACTAAAAATAATTTATTCCATTGGAATCGTAAATACGATCCAAATCATCAGACCTACTGATTTGGATCG